ATTGCTCACACCAGGGAAGTTCCTAAAGCACACCTTTTCACACAGCATGGGTTTCATCTCATAGTTGATTTCTCTTTTCTGAACTCCACACATATGGAATTTCTTGTTAGTAAGCCTGTAACAACTGTACATCCCAGCTCTGAAAACTCCCTCCAGGGCTGTTTCCACAGAACTCATTTTTATGTTAGTTTCTTTTCCTTTTCTTCTCCTTACAACAACCTTCCAAGAAGTCCCTAGGTCTTTCATGGCAAAATACTACTTCCTGCAGTGCAGGTACTGTGGTAAGGACCTGAAGTTGCTGAAGATTTGAAATCTCAAATCATTAAGGTCACACAAAGGTGAAAAGCATTTAAAAGACTGAAAAAGAAGAGGGAAAGATAAGGCACATCCCAACACACCAAAAACATTGCAGGATCCCAGTAATGTAAATAAACAGTTTTTATTATAGGCCATACTGTTTTTGCGGGATGCTTTAGAAACCCACTGATCTGAGATAACTTTAGAGAAATCTCCCATTATTGTCATTCCATGAGTGTTTCCCATTATTCACTGTTGCAGATACAGTGCAAGACAACTACAGACTTTTTCCCTCCCAGTTACACATTTGCCTGATGAGCACTGGTAATTTTCTCAGTACTAGTACTCTTGAAGGTAGTGCAGCTTCCAGGGAGAAGAAAAAGGAAGATGTTAGTTAAATCTATAGTACATACCCCCCACTACCTCCAAGTGGATTTACACTAGTGTTGGAATCATACCTAGCATTATCACAGTCTACTCTGCACCATGTCAAGGCACAGTGGTGACAGCATGAGACCGCAGAAGCAGCAGCACAGCTGCTGGAACTGACAGTAACTACCAAAAAAAGACTTGAACTGCATTTTTTCTAGAGAGGAAGACAGGGAGAGCAAGGCAGCAGAAGTACATACCCCTAAGACCAGTAAGACCTAAATATCCAGAATAGTAAGCATACACGCATTTTAATTGTTCCTGATACTTTCTGAAGCTGGTCAGGTCTGTGAAAAAGTCATTTACATACTTACTACAATATGAAATAGTCAGAAATAAGTGTAAAATATTAGTGAGAAATATAAAAATATTAGTGAGAATTCATGCAAGGCTTAAGAGCTTCTAAAGGATCATAAAAATGTGAAAAAAAAGAACATTGTCTCAGGATGTTTCCTTTTTGTGTTGTGGTTGTTATTGGAAAAAATACTCATCTTTAAAGTCTTCTCTCTGTTTTGGTATTTTTATTACATAGCCTGCATAATATAGCTTTGAATTGCCTTTTCTTAGCATATATTGTTGATTCTGGATAACTGAATTTTTCTCCTGAAGTCAGTATTCCATATGTAAAGAAGAACTCTGTTTAGCAATATGTAATTTCCTTGCTCTTCCCTCTGCACTTTAACCTTCAGTGACAACTGCAAGATATGTCAGCAAAATGCTGTTTTTCATGCTGCCATCACTGCTTCTTTCTTGCTGCCTCATCAGGGCCGGCCTTAGGTTGTACAGGGCTCTACGTGCCAGTATCACACACAAGCTGATACCTGACTCCCTCCTCAATTATCACTGAGTCAATAAAATCGGCCAGCATGGAGGAACTATGCAGGCGTTGCCTCCTTTCTGGAGACAAAGATACTGGAGTTTTTCTCCCTCAGGCAAGAAATAAGAAGTGTGAGATGTGATTTGTGATGAAATTCAGAACCATGTTAAACTTGCCTGGTTTCAGATTTCATTACCCCCACAGTAGAAAGGTTTGGCAAAGTAAGAGAAATTCTGCCAATTAAGAACACAACATCAAGAATTCAGGAAGCTTCCAGCATGCAGCAAGGTGAGAAGTTTCAGCTTCAGCCAAGCTTTCTGTTGAGATTTGTTCAGGCTTTGAATTCTTATGAGTTTTGCTTATAGACCAAGAAGCTGTCAAGCAACTACACATACCCCAACAAAAGTAAATAGACCCATTTCAGCTTTGCAAATAGTCATGGGTAACAGAACAGCTGGAAATGCTGTGTCCCTTCTTAGGCCTGCAATAGTCTTATATCAAAAAGGACTGGTGCAGACTCTCAGCAGGAAGCTCAGTGCAGGATGACAGCAACTGCCCCACTTTCATCAGGGCTGTAATGTTGAGACCTTGCTCGTCTCAACAGCAACGGACAGTTCATGTTGTTATATTGAATTTGAACCCCCCCGCGTTTGACATCAGTTCCAAGACTCTTAACTACGTATTTGGAATTCATGTCTTTCTTTCTCTGACCCTTCCTGACCAACATCCCATGGCACATGAGATTGCCTCCCCACAGTATACACATGTTATGTATACAGTTCTTTTGAGACAAGCTCTGCACATAGTTTAGATAAGTTATTAAAACCTATACATTGTGGGAAGTATAAAAACAACTGAGGCATGGATCTGGGCCTTTAATGTTGTGTCATCCTTGTCCAGATATTGTGGGGAGGGGGAGCGGGTCTTTAGAAAGTGAAGATCCGTCTCCACAAGAATTATCTCCTTTAAAATCTGTGTGAGGTTTTACAGTCACACACTTCACACTGTGCCCTGCCACCAAGCTGTACCATGTATGCAGCTTTCCACACATCCTTGAAACACTAGCTCTCTCTGCTGGTGCCTTAACATCCTATACCACAGGCCAGCTCTGCAGGGAAAAACACTGAATACCCCCTAGCAGAATGGCTTTCTTTTTTCAGGGAAAATCCTACTCCTTCCTCATCAGGACTGAAATTTATTCTTTTAATAACTGATTTCCCAAGTAGTGCCATTAAAATATATATTGAGAAAACAATATACTGCTAAAGAATTGCTTATTTCTACAGTTTACGCTCTTGTACTTTCAGCTAAACTTAGGAAGAAAGCTGGGGCTTTCTCAAGAAGAGGCAGAGATTGCTCTTTATAGATCCTTTTGCCTTTTTAATTATTAATTTACCCAATAGTTGAGGTCTGACAATTGAAATCACAAGTGTTAATCCAACAGCTTCAATCTGGCTCATAGAAAACATGCAAACTTGGATTTTAGTAACAAACCCAATCTCTTTACCACTGCTGTCTTATATAAGACTTCAGGAAACATTTTAATCATCATATCATTTAAAGGCTCAATAGTGGTTCAAAGATTTAGAAGTACATCTGAACCTCAAACCTTCAATTCTAAAAATATTACCCAAAAGCACCAAAAAGGAGGGAAATCCTATCATTCCCATGGCCACTTTTGCCTCTAATAAGTTTTTAATCTTACACTTTATTTGATCATTATTAAGATACATTAAATAATTCTTTTAACCATGCTATATATTGAGGGAAATTAAATTTGATGTGACTATCAAAAATCTGTAACTGAAGCCAAAAGATACTGCAACATCAAATCCCAGATTTCTTCTGGGGTGAGAAAGTTAAACATAATCACCTTTTTTTTCCCCTACTATCAAATTTAGAACTAGACTTACTCTCTCATCCAATGGTTCAGCTACTTATTTACTGAGACCAATGTCACCGAACCACAGCTGCCTCACAGACCATCAGCAAAGAAAATTATTCTGCACAAATCTCAGTCCACCCTAACCTGACCAAGAATTAATCTTCACTTTTACAGATTCAGACAAGCAAATGGACAGAAAATCTGAATGCTTTACTGTGCAACTGGAAGCTTGCTTAGACCATACAACAGACTTTACTAAGAAGATAAAAGTTTACAGAGAGACAGAAGGTTTTTGCATTTAATTTCTGCAAACAAGACTCAGGGTTCTACTGCATTTTTTTCTATTCTAGTCAGGCATCTTAGCTTGGTTATCACAATACCTTAATTGAGTAAAGCATGTGAATGGAAATTCTCAGCAATGGCACCCCACAACAGATGTCTCTGAGAGCCATACTCCCAGCAAGAAGGGACAGGCATTGCCCCCTATTTCTACAGACAGAGACAGATCCCTTGTCAAGAGCCCTCAGATTAAAACACTTGACTGACAGCATCTAATTGCTTTATAGGGCATCTTGAGAAGGTCCCTTAAAACTAGGACTGAGGTACCATAGAGTCATAGAATTGTTTAGGTTGAAAAAGAACATTAAGATCATTTAGTGCAGCCATCAACCTAACACTAGCGAGTCCCTCAGCAAGCCTTGTCCCTAAGAGCCACATCTATGTGCCCTAAGAGTGCTAACCCCTTGTACAAAATCCTTACATTCAGGCCCACACCTCTCAGAATCAACTGCCTCCTCTAAACCAACTCAACTTAAGACAAGAATTATGGAATGGCTTGGATTGGGAGGAACCTTAAATATTGTGTTGTTTCAACCCCCCTGCCATGGACAGGGACACTTTCTATTGGATCAGATTACTTAGAGCACCATCCAACCTGGTGTTGAACAGTTCCAAGGATGGGGCATCCACAACTTCTTTGGGCAACCTGTTTCAGTGTCTCACCACCCTTACAGCAGAGAATTTCTTACCAATATCAATCTAATTCTACCCTCTTTCAGTTTAAAGCTGTTCCCTCTTATCACTACATGCCCTGTAAAAAGTCCCTTTCCAGCTCTCTTGTAGGCCCCTTGAGGTACTGGAAGGCTGCTTTAAGGCCTCCTCAGAGCCATCTCTGAGGAAGCAAAATAGAGCCTTTCCTTTTTCCTCTACTGATGCTATTGATTTAAAAATGCATCTTAGACCTATATTCAGGAAAACCAAACAGGACTTCACAGAACATTCATACAGAACTTATTAAAGTGTGAAACATCTGTTTGAAACATTTGTAGCTTTATTTGCAGAGAAACCGAGCACTTGCTGCTGCTAAAGTAAGTGAAAGCTATGGCTTCACATCTCCCCTAAACTAAAAATAAAAATCAGATTATGAGTTTCTAAAATATTTTGAGACATTTGGATGCAACTATTACAGAAATGAAACCATAATTATTAAAATATTCACCATTATTAAATATGCAAAGCACCTGTAAATGAGTCTTTGGATCTTCATTGTAGAAAAAAGAGAATGGAACTCACCTTAGTAATGAGGAGACAAGTGATCTCCGAAGAGAGTTGCAGCTATCTGATAGGCCATTACAATTCCACAGCATTAGATGGTACTGATGAAATATTCTGATGAGTTTCAGGACGTAGAGATGTGCAAAACATGATGAGAGGTTAAGACCGGAGCAAAACAAAACTTCAGGATTTTTCTGCAACTTGCTGAGCTTTTTCTTAAGTGGAATCAAGTCTAAATTTTGATTATCATTTTATTGTTACTTTCTCTGATCTCCCAGTTTTTTAAGTACAGGATTTAGAGCTTGAATCTGGCAGAACAGTTGAGACACCCCAGTCAACAGGAAATGCAGGAGATGTTTGGAATAAAAAACAAGTAACTCTGAAAAGCAGTATGTAAGAGGAGTCTTACCACTGAACAGAGAGCAGGAAAGAAAATACCCAATTGACACAGCTTTTTAAGTCCCATGGCAGCAAAACTTCCTGCCCCTTCCCCTGTAATGTCTTTGAGTATCTATTTCTGTTAAAGACTGGTTTCAATCATGGTTTAGACACCAATGGCAATACATTAAGTGCTGTCTGGCTTGTGGTATAGATTCTGTCTGCTTTGCACCATCAGTATAAAGCTAAGGTGGCAAAACAATCACTCACTTGCAGAATGGTATACAGTGGACTGTCAAGTCATATATGTATACATAGAAGTGCAGACACTACTGATTAATGGTACAACAGCACTGTTCCTTATAACTCCTCCTGAGGACCTGCAGCACTGAAATAACACAGCTGGAGGAGCAGAGGACAAGCTCTGTCTCAAAGCATGTTCTGAGATGCCATCAGTTTACCCCCAGTTGGTCTAACAAGTGGTGTTAGGGGTAAAGTGGACCAGGACTTCCCAGTGCACGGTACACAACCTCCCTGGGACAAGAAGGAGCTGCAGAAGCAGTTACACAGAGAGCAGGTAACAGCCAGAACAAAGACCAACAACTCTCCAAGGGCAAAAAGCAATTCTTTGCATGAATCAGTGGACATTGGTTTAGGTCTCAGCATAAATCCTTAACTGTAATTTATAGAGGAAAACAGTTTTCTTTATCTTTTCCTCAGCAATTTTACATCACTGGGAACACAGAGCAACTTGAAGTTCTCTTCAGGTTAAGTTTTCATGCAGGAATTTTAGACCCACTAGCACAGTGCTTGTACAACTGTGGACTGCAGCAGTTGAAGTCCTAGTGTGCAAATCTTGAAGAGATGAATATTTTCTTAACAGCAGCTCATAATGTAAGTAACAAATTGGCACAACCATTTCAGCTTTTTCTGTTTGCAAGGAGATAAATCAATACCCCTTATCACCATGTGTCATAAGCACTTACGATTAACTAACAAGAAACTGATCTCTGCATCTTGCTGAAGATTACTGCTCTCCTTTCAGTTATCTCTGTGGGAAATAAGCAAGGTATATAAAAGATTAATATGTTACAGTCAATTTCTTCAAAACCAGTTGAAGGAGATGGTCCAACCAACTTTATTTCTACGCTTTTGTTTGGTAGTTCCTTGCAAGATAAAAGACCAGGGAAAATTTTTGTATTTAGACATTATTTTGTATTTTTTGAGAGTGGTAATAATCAACTGTTATTAAAACAGATGTCTTTATTATTAAGCCTCAAAAAAGATAGATCAAGAATTACAGTAAAAACTATTTCAACTATACTTAAAGTAGCAGGAGAGGTGGGTTTTTTTCTTTTTATTTTGTATCAAAAGTCAAGAAATATACATTGTATTAACAAGCAGACAATAGCTAGATTTTTTTTTTCTCTCCAGACCTCACCTGTAAACCAGAATAACCTTAAGTACTAAAGCATGCACTTAGAATAAATATGGTTTGAGGTTATTTAGGCACGTCTATGTGCATTAGGGTCATACCTAGAAGCAGAAAGTTAGATTTTGTTGGGCCTTACACTGTAGGCAGCAGACTGTCAGAGGTAGAGAAAGTTTGCATGAGGTTAACCAGCAGCTCAGAGGCAGCACAAATGTCACAACTTACCTGTTTCATATTGCAGCTTCTCCCTGCTGGACAGCATGGCCTTCTACCATTTGTGCCTGGTAGAGGTTAAGTTAATTGTAAACATTTAATCTAGGTGGACAGCCAAGAGCAGTCAAGCCTTGAAGAGAAGAGTCAAGGCATTCATTGTGTTACTAGAACAAGATCATGTGTTCCAGCTTAACTATTGTCTGCATCAAGGTGTTAATATTTTCTCCCAAGTTTTTCTGTCTGAAGTCCACTACAGTCCTGATGATGTATTTGAAGCACCTTTTTTGACCATAACAAACAAAACTTCAAAACTAGATTCTTGGTGTATTTTATTAACTTAGGTGGAGCAAAAAACAGAAGAGGCACAGAAAGACCAAGAATATACATTTTAAGAGTCACCAAGTTATATCATTGGGCAAATTCTCTTATGAGATTTAGATTAAACCACAACATTTGGGTTCTATTTATGATTTGTTCTGACACTTTCCTGCACAACAAAAAAAATATTATGTGAATATAAAAACACTGACAGAAAAAACAGGTTTACCTATAGATTGAAATGTTTGTTCTCTGAAGGAACAATCACCACAGTATCCACAACATTCCAGTTTTCCCTGGCTTGGGCCATCTTGCCTCCAAGAGCCATCCCAGCCAGCATCTCCCACACGGTAGAAGGCAGGAGCAGAGGGGCTGTGGAGATGAGAAATGGTGCTTGCAGGTGCAGGCAGGGACACGTACCAACGAAACTCCCGTAAAATGAGGATAAAAAAAGAGAAAAAAGGCTTACCTAGTGTGTCCTGCTTGCCTGTGGCTACTGCAGCTGGACAACTCTGTTGCCAGCGTCCACCACCACAAGATGGCTGCCGCCGCCTCAGGGCACCTTGTGCCCACCATGGAGGGACAGCCAGGCTCCCTCCCGTCACAGCCCCACTGAGGGACAGCCAGGCTCCCTCTCCCCACAGGTGCTGTCCCAGCCCCACTGAGGGACAGCCAGACTCCCTCCTGTCCCAGCCCCACTGAGGGACAGCCAGACTCCCTCTCCCCACGAGTGCTGTCCCAGCTCCCCCAGCAATCCCCACCCATCGCGAGGCTCCCTCAGAGGGGCAGCAGGGAGGCTCTGTCCCGGGGCAGGCACTGAGGGCCCCTGTCCCCAGCTCCCATCAGCTGATCTCACCCCCAGCACTGCTCCACACAAGACCTGCCCCTGGGGCTGCCTCACGCCAGAAAGAGCTCCCCAGCTGCCCCAGCTCATTTTGCACCCTAAGCACAGCTAAGTTCCCCTCTCCTCTACCCTCATTAGCATTAGGATTTGTGGGGTTTCTTAATGTACTTCAGCATCACACACATAGGCAGATATGGCATTTCCCTCACACCAGGTATCCTGGCTGCTTGCTCACCTGCCCAAATTTCATGCTCCCCTGCCAACTGGCCAAGGCGGCAGTGCTGGGAAGAAGTGTGGGAGGGAGCCTGGAAACATGCAGAGCCTTCAGCCCACCCATCCCGCTGCCCACTGAGTCGAGACCTCCAAAACCTGCAATTCCAGGACTGTAAATATCCAAGACCAGTCTCACAGAAAACCTGGAGCCCAGAAGCACTCCCTAATGCCTTCTTTAAAAGAGACGCCACACGGCAAAGTAAAACAGCTGTTCAGGTATGCATCTTAAATCTCTAAATCTGGAAAAGTTTTCCTCAGCCCTAGTTTAGAACTCCAGAAATACAGACTGTCAATAGCTTTCCTGTTTCACCAGTGATCCTCTAGCTGACCATTCAGAGCTAACAGACTTTACCTGTTTCCTCAATATCCTGTTTTCTGGGGCTGGAGGAATCCCCTGTACCTGCCTCCTCCCTTGCTACAACTTCAAAAATATTTAGAAAAAATACAGGGAGAAATACAAAGTTGGCAGAGGTTCAAGAATACAGCTTAAGTAGCAACATTTTGAGACACTAAATACCAGCAAATTAGCATAAGAGTCATCAGGTATCACAAAGGCAAGTATCTACCAGAAGAAAAAAAAAAAATTAAAAAAATAAATATATGTATATAAAAAGCATTTACCATATAGAGAAAACAGGTGCCATTGGTCACAGTGACCAGAAAACTCCCACAGAAGTCAAAACAACTTTAATAAGTACATGGAGATACATCTTTCAGAAATTTTACATCTCAGTTAATAATAGATAAATAATCATTTAATCATTTACATAATATAATTAATAATGCACTTAAAGTTGATGTTCTTGTTCAGATTCATCCTGAAAAATGCCAAGAAGAGAAATCTGCACAGGAAAGAGAACAAGGAAGGCAGAAAGGCAATGTCAGAAGTGAAGAAGAGGAAGGAACAAGAACAGAAATGGAAAAAGAATAGTAGGAACAAATGAAAAGGAAAAAGTGAAGGTAGCTCTGGAAAAGGAACAACAGAGGAGCATGGAGGACATGTGATTAGTAAGGATAATGTTCTCATTTGAGACAAGATCTATTGTTGTCTTTTCTTTTGCAAGCCAAGCACATGCATCCACACCTAAGGATGTTTCAGCATGAAAAAACATAGATAACAACAAAACATCTTCTAGCATTACAGAAGACCAACAACAGAGTGTTAAGAAGCCAGCAATCTGCTTCAGCACTCCCGGGCAAATTCCAAACTAGAGTATAACAACACAAACCTTTTAATCTCAAACATGTGCATAGATAAAGTTCCATCTTTTAGTAGTATATTAGATTTTCCCTAAGTTTAGTATTGCATGTATATCTACTAAATTAACTCCATTTTTCTAATACTTTCATCCATTTGTCATTACTCTGAATTCTGACTTTTCAAAGTCTTTGTTGATAATGAAAAAAATCAGTATCAAGTATCTTCAGCCTACTTGTACCTAGTTTATAGAGAGTTCATGAAGATGATATTTCACACTTTCCATACAACACCAAATCCACTATATTCTCTGACAAAAACCTCAGCACATGGTTATAAAGATCTTGTAGTAATGTAGGTTATTCCTTAATGATATAAGCATATTATACAAAAAACCCAAACAACAAAACCCCAAAAAAACTAAAAAACGCACCAAAAAGAAAAAAAAAAGGCATTAAGAGCACTTTTGCTCTTTACCTTTGCTGACACAGCTTTAGGGAAAAGACCAATACCAAACCAAATAAATACTTGAGGCAAAGCTCTGGGAAACCGATCAGTATGAGAAGGAAGCTCTTGTGCAATCTAATCGTAACATTTCTATTCACCTTTTGGAACGTTCTGCTCACACAAAATAGCGCATTTGACACCATCTCGCCACATCGCGTCAATCTGGTCATTTGTCATTGGAACGGCATTTCCCGGGGACAACAGCGGCCTCCTCGGGTGGTCCCGAGGAGCTGCAGCCTACCTGGAAACGCCTGGACACACTGCAGCGCATTCCCGGGAAAACAGGCATCCCCGAGAACCCCATTAGTAAAAGCAGCATGTTTTAATCACGTGTGTGAAAAGAAATACTTTGAAAACCCTTTTTTTTTTTATTTGTGCCATGCCTTGCTTAACTTTATTTCAAGGAAAGTAAATAGGCGTTCAAGTCAAACTGCTGGACTGAGAACATCAAGATGACTGGAAAATATCTTGAATCACACTCAGTGAGGTGGAAAACCTTTAGTTTTATTTTCCTTCACTTCCCATTCCCAGAATAAGGAGAATATTCCTTTGCTTCATGAACCTCCTTGACTTTCTTTGATCCTCCCTGTGCTCTCAGTGTGAATCCTCCTACAAAAATAGCCCATTTTACTGTCATTCTGTTTTATTTAAATGTCAGCCAAGGCTTTCCATTGCCTCATTTGTTGCATAGCCCGGGTTCTTGTTCTGGGTTTGTGTCCTTGTTACATGAAGATGCATTCCAATTTTTTCTTCCAGCTCTTACTTACTGAACTTTCCTAACTGTTCCTCCGTACTCCTTCAGCTCTTTTCTCCAAATCTTTGTTCCATATAAGTCACATACCTGTATCCCATATTCCTCATATTCTTCTCAAAACCACATGTGACAAATGCAATGCAGGTTTTTGCCCCCTTACAAACAGTGTGAAGGAAAGTAGATAATTTTTTTTTAATATTTCTGAACCAACCAGACAATATGCTACATAACACTAATCAGCACCCATTCTCCCTTTATTCTCTGTTCTCTCCCCTTCGCTTTGGCAATCTGCTGAGCTCCTTGGGCTAGGATCTGCTCTTCTGGCAAGAATGCTCAGCAAACCCAAGGTTGCTATAGCAATTAATAATCATTTACGTTTCAGTTTACAGAAACAGAAACTAGAGGAGTGGAGGTGCCATGAGGAGGAGGTGGCAGCAAAGAAGTCACAATTAGAGAAAACAGCACAAGAACATATTTGGCAGCAGCAGCAAGATTACCACAGGAAGCTTCTGCAGTTCTAGAAGAAGCAACAGCTAGAGGAACATGGAGCAGCAGATGGTCTATTGAAAGACTAATGCTTACTTTAGCAGCAGATAGTTCATCAGAATAGATGATTTCTGGTAAAGACACAGCCTGTGTGTCTGCCTTGAAATTCCTGTGACACTACATCCCAAACTTTTAGTACCTAAACTGCTGCTCTGTTAAACAGATATGGTAATAATAGTCCTCTCTGCCACAGTCCCTGCAGTGCAAAAAAAGAGGAATTCCATAGCCTAGCTACAATGCCATGTGTAAGATTCCTGGCAATAACATCCATGCTACATCATAGCATGAATCGTTTGTTTTCATTATGTTTTCTCTGAAAGCCCAACTCCCAGCATGTGCCCTTAAAAAAAGAGGTTCTAACAAAGAGTTGCAGAGAAAGGCTTGAACAAAAATCCAGTTACTCATATGAGACAATATTAAATGCTTGTAATGCCAGAATTGTAACAGTATTTTCTTCTTATCTGTAACTGATAAAGTTATTTCCTAAATAGGAAGTATATAACCAACCAATAGTTGTTGGCAATGTTTCAAAGAGGCACAAAAAAGCAGACAAAAAGAAGGGGTAATGTGGTTAGAGGAAGAGTGCCAGCAGCTGGTTGACATGGCAGTAGAACACCTGGAATTCAAAGGGAAAAAAAATGAGGAAAGGTAACAAAATAAGGCTGAGGAGCAAACAAAGAAAGAGGAAGATGCTAGACTACCTCTAGAGGAAGCCAAATAACAAGCACAGCTTTTAAATTTAATCAGGTATGTAGCTATTAATCAAAGAGTGAAGTAAATTTTTTTCTTCAGTTATATCAACACATCTTTACACCTAGTGCCAGCCTATAAAAAAATACCTCTGTAGTAGGAGTTCCATCAGAGTAGTTAACACTGGAGAGCACCACTGGTACCTCAGGAAACTACCATCAACTCCAGCCCCAAGACAGAATGCTTTTCTTTTACTATTTAACAAGTTTTTCACTATTTCCCCAAATTGTACCAGCAATTGACATACACCTGTATTCTCTAATTATTTTGGTGTTAATAATATATTACAGAAAGAAACCAAATTAGATTTTCCTGAACACCTGAAGTTATGGTTACCTTTACATAATCCATCAGAGCAGTCTCAAGAACTTCCACAAATTCCTGCAGGACCTCAGAACACAGAAACTGGGATGCTGCACAGTACAGATTAAAACACTCCAAACTGCGTAACAGGCCTTCTAGGCCAATTTATGAGCCACAAAGCACTGCCAGGGATAAGAGGCCAACCAGTAACTACAGCTGAACAGCAACTAGCAGCTAACACTTGCTCTACTCTTCCTGTTGTGACAAGAAGACAAGCTGGCCCACAAGAAGGTATCAGCACAAGCCAACATGTTCTTCCACAGCCTATTCCAAAGCTTGCTCAAAGACAACTCCTGGGGAAGCCCAGGCTCCTGCCCATCCTCAGTGCTACAGAAGGTGCCACAAGCACTGCGGCAAAATCAATCAAAAAAATAAAATTAAAAAAAAAATAAAAATCCAAGTGCCAGTGCACCAGTAGCAACTCACCAAGTGTCTACATGTCAAGTCAATGCACTGGCTTTCTGGCCCCAGAAGGAATTCTGTCTGCATCCCCTTTATTAACACTGGAGGCAAAGGACAAATCTGGAACCACCTCAGCAGTCCAAGGAGCATGACTAATGAAAGCTACCGGACTGGAACACCCTCAACATATTCTTCATCCACAAGTGTTCTCTCACATTCACCTGTTTGAAAAACTAGGCCTGAAACCAGTATGAAAGAGCAAGTAAATGCCTGCTGCTAGAAATGGGTCATTGAAGCAAACTTTCAGCTGCATTCAAATTCAAGGATCCAATCTGGCTCAAGAGAAACCTTTTAGCACAGGTGCTGCTACTCATTCACATATTTATTTTCCTAGACCGCAGCACTAATCTGTGTTGACATTCCAACAATAAGAAGTAAAATCAGTCATGTTTGATCAGCCGGTAGAAATGAATCCAGACTGACCTCCAGAGGTTCCAGAATAGATACTTTGGTCCATTTTGTGTTAAAATAATGAAATCACTAGGTTCAAAAAGGTATGAAAGACCTCAGTGCTGACTTCTGGAGGAATCCTCCAAAACAATAAATTGCAATAAACATGCTACTGTAAGGAGAAGCTAGATTTCAGATTCAGCAATAAAAATATTACAAAGAAACAATAGCAAGGTTCTGTTCTTATCTTCCTTATTAATACAATTACTCTGGATTTTTTTTCTTCTCCGATATTTTCTGACGAAGTGTAACACTTGCAGATTCAATTCATACTGCAGTTCCTGTAGTTTCCTGTGGAGAATAATCAATTTTTGCAGTCTCTAAATTGGAGCTGAACTGCATTAGGTATGCATTAAGTACTGGTTCCAAAAGCAAACCAAAACCAGTTTAAACATCCAGCAAAATTCCTACTGGTCTCTGTAGAGTGCTTCAGAGGTTGATTTTCTCATTTATGACAATTTACATGAACAGCAGTAACTCAAGTGTGCACACTGAAGATGCACAGCACAGGTCAACACAAATATTTTAAAAGAGTATTCTTAAATAATTTCCATTTAAATTAGGAAAAGCTAAACACTAGTAAACAACTGTAGAGTTTCTAAAGCAATACGTGGCTAGTCAAAAATCATGGCAGAATTCACGTTTTAGCACTATCTAACATATTAAGTGAAGTTCAAATCCTGCCAACATTTATGCATTTCACTTCAAAAAATCCTAATTTTATCAAACTGGTGATCATGCAGACATGTTTATACTTAAAGAAAATACACAAATCATTTAGGCAGAGCAGCTTTAAGAAAAGCTGTTAAGACTGATAGTTTTATAAAGTGCCTTTCAATAAAGCTTTTATACATCACTATAGTGAATACTAAATGTATTATCACAATTCAAAATAAAGTATAAACTTCCACATTCTATTCCATAACTGACTCAGTGAAGATGGTTTCATTCTCCTAACACATATTTTTAAGCACTTAAAAACAAATCTTTTTCTAACATACAAATAAGCAAAGAGAAAAATTGCAAGAGGAAAGATTTTCTGCTTTTCTCCAACATATAAAATCCAACCTTATTTCCAATTATAGCCTTTGAAACTAAGTGCTTTAAAACTTCCACTCTAGACCTTCTTTTTAGAAATTCTTTGGAAAGGACTAGCTCAGAAGGAAAGGACAGAAAGGGAATCCAACCTAGCTCCTTGACTTCAAAACTCAGGTTTTACTTTAAAATTCCCAAGAATTAACTTCTTTAGGAAGGGTACTAGTGTATCTGTAGCACATGTGTCTTCTCATGTTGCACAGAGCTCTCAATACTAATTTTCAAGGCAGATTTTGCCCATCATTACTGTTCTATCAGCAAAGACATGACTTTGGACCAGGAGCTCTGTTGAGGCTCTTTAAGGCTTCACAAGAAGTCTGAGAAAGAGGTCAAATCAGTCTGTCACTGGTTCCACATCCACTCTATAAAGAGATGTATTTTAGGACAAGGTTACAGAACAGAAAGCAATCTTTGCCTTGAGCTTCATCCTACTGAAGCTGCATTTTGCAAAAAACCCTCCTCCACAGTCTCAAGAGAACCAAATGCAGTACTTCAGCTAGAAAGCTGATATAAATGAGCATATAAAACAGATTTGGAAGAGGAAAGTGAACAGCTAGAAGCAAAGATAGTCAGGGCAGCCACTAGAGTACTAGAATGAAACCCCAGGGATGTGGATTCAGTTCTCAGCTCCGCTTTCAGCTTCCAGAGTGACCCCAGTAAGCTGCACCTGTTCCTAGTTTGCTGAAGAGAGATAATAGGAACTTGCCTACAAAAAAAGAGCATCATAGAAATTTTAATTTATAAGATGATCTGGTAAGAGTCACAAGGCTGTTTCATTTCTGGTATTCTAAAGCAAATATATTTAGTATTTTAAAAAACAATTGGAGGTAAGTGCAGACAAGCTGTGTCATTCTACATCATCATAGCAATCCCTCTTTCTTTAAGAGCTGAATTACATAAAATACTTTAAGAAAACCCCATATTCTGACATTTTGTGAACAAAAATTTTAATCTTTAAAAAATTGCGTAGTGCGACTATGTATACAAAAGTATTACTAAATCAGGAACAGGACAACCACAAGCATGAAAGAAAATGCACGTCTAGCTTTACAGCAAATGGCATAAAAAAGGTAATTAAAATCTGCTATTTTTTCCAAGTGTGCCAGCATGTGTCTTTAACAGAAGCTGGCATTTACATGGAACTCGATTTACCAAACAAGTCCTATTCATCTGCAAAAGAGGTGAAGCAGGGAGAGTACTGAAATCTTCTCTTCACACTACTCTGCTCATAATCTCCCACCTCAGCTTTTATGTCCAGTAACAAGTTCTCAGACTAACCATTTATAACCTGCAGGTAGCTGGAACATGTAGACCCTGATAATGATGCCCAATGAACCATCATGACATTTTCGTGTCACCCATCATAGATTATTTAATGGTACCATATCATATGAAATGCAGACATTAAAAGCCATCTTTATTTACTTCCGAGGTGCATTTTTGGTTTAAATTCTGTGCATGAAGATCACCTGCAAAACAAGCAAATCAAGTATTTTCCTAGGGCAAGTAGAAAAAAAAAAATTATGAGGTATATTTACAGAGCACTTTTTTTTCTGGCTTCAACTTATAGTCACTGGAAAAGCATACCCTAATTATAACTTCTAATTGTTTTGCTCATTTCCAAACATTTGAAAAGAAAATGCAAGTTGTTTATAAAATTGGTTTTCTTGTTTATTTTAAATGAAGCTGGTACAGACAATGTCCATTCAAAACCCACGTCCCAGGCCAAAAGGTACAAACAAGAGTGTCAAAGTAACACCAGTTGGCTGCTGTGAACATTCTTGCATGGATACCTGTACGTACTAATTGCTATATGAGGTTAAAATGCTTCTGGGCTCTTCCGGTAATATTTAAAAATCATTAGGGTTTTCAATTTCACGTCTTCAGCAAAGCCATCTCTGGAGCAAGGAACGGATGACAACAGTTCTAGCTTTTCCATTTCCATCTCGGCAATCTTCATTGGGCCATCAGCACAATTTAAGCAAAATAGCTCTGAGTTATGGATACACACAACTTCTCCACAGTTTAGTTCTCTGAAAAACTTCATCTCGCACTGAAAGTTATAGTCCAGGAGTGAGACAGTCACACATCAAAACTTCAGGGCAGATATGGAAGTCGTTAAGAACACTCGCCCACCTGGCAGATCTTACAGCCTTCGTGCCTGAAATGCACGAACCCAGTGAACATACAAATGCATGTGAGTACATGTATTCCTAAAGGGGAGGGCAGAAGGGAAGAGGGGAGCAAGGTTGCAGTTGGATCACAGAAGTTCAGCACAATGAAAACAGAAACAATAGTGTATAATGAGCACGAGAATT